ACTCGGTTTCTCCTCTTTCTCCACTGTGGCCTTGATCTGTTTTCTTCTCGAACTGATCTTTTCCAACGACATACGAATTTCCACTTTCCTTCACGATCAAGAAGCAACTGTTGGCGTTGTGGTCATTCCAAAGTTTTGAGGATCCAAACAATTTCTCTTCAGAAGGAGTGTCAAACAGACCTCCGGTTATTTTCTTGTCATGTTTTGACTTGAGCAGCTTTCGATAAAGACGAGCCATAGTTTACTTTGTTTCCCCGTCTGGTCTGAGTGAAACTGATACAGAAGCTCACACACATAGCGCCTATATGATGTTTTGCGGCAGATTCTAAAGACATTTCCGCCATGGATATGACAACGTGTACTTGCAAATCTTAATGACATATGCACGTGAAATGTTTGTAAGATTTGGCTGTCTCTGACATGGCGAGGAAGGCACGCCCTTCTTGCATTTCGTGCCAATTCCTTCTCGTTCAAAGTTTTCGCTCTTTCTCGAGAAACAAAAAATTTGTAATTATGAGATAATCATGCACATTTGGTATTCAAATGACAACGGTTCTAAGGATGAGCCTTTTCTGAGACATGATAGGTGTGAATGACGTTTTGGCAACCTAAGCGGAAGTTAAGATTTCCGGTCAGTGTGTCAAAACAGTGATTAGAACATTGTAACTGTAATCGAAAACATAATTTTCAAGTTTACTCATATATTATTACCTCGTTAAAGAATCAAGACAATTTGGTTTGATCAACTGAGTTGATAAAGTAAATTGGCCACCTTGAAGAATTTTGAAATTTGACGTTTTGAGCGTCAGCTTTTTGCCAGGGCAAATAAAAAAGGGCTAACACTCGAAACGCCAGCTTTAAAGAATCTTTACGGAGGCCAATTCATATTATCAACTCAGCTAATAAGCTAATTATCTTGCAATACTCCCTCCCCTCCCTCCCCCTCCCTCCCCCTCCCGTCCTTCCCCCTCCCGTCCTTCCCCCTCCCCCCACCAACGCAACATCACAGTTTCCAATAACCTTCTTTATTTATTATAGAATCAATTGTTATCCTGATGTTTTCCTGACTTTACACCATTATTTTTCTTAACTGAATTAAGATTTTGTCGTGAGTTGGATATATTCGACCAACCTTAATAATTTTACAAATTTCTTTCACCTAATGAAAGCTTATTGAAAAAACAACAACATCACAGAAACAAAAAAAACCAAACAACAACAACAAAAAACCAAAAAGAAGGAAACGAAATTAAGTGATCAAAACAAATTGATTTAAACTGTGATATATTAACCTCAGGGAGTTACGGTTAACATTTTCGGACAGAATTTTGGAAAAGGAATTTTTCCATGAACATACGTTTTCGAGCCAAACAAAAGGGTGCGCCACTCCATTTCCTCTAGGGTCTTGGTGTGTGACAAGTCTCTTCAATTGCCAATCATGCTAGCAGCCACCTGTATCGAAGTTATGGCAAGCACGTACCAGATCAAAATTGTTTCTTTCTAAAAAGATCGACCAAATATAACACAGAACATTAAACTTAAAAAAACTACTTGAGTCAAAAGGATAAAAAGAATTTAATTTCACAGCAGTAAAGTTGTTAATTTAGTTGGCAAGTTACGCCCCCAGAGGCCTTCCTGTCCTTTTGCTATACGGACTATAGTTACAATTTTTCTGCGCTCATAAATCTGGTTGCATCTTTGTCACCGAATTAGCCAAAGTAAACAAATCTTTGCCTTTCTTGCTTTTCTATCAACGATTAATCGACGTAAGTTTACCTCAATTCGCCTTGAACTGCTATAAAGATCAATTGTGAATAAAAATTAATTACAAATTACTTTAATAGTCTCTAGGAGGATTGTTTGTTTGCTGATCCTTTGTAAAGATCTTGCGTTTTCTGTCAAAAAATATTAGCAAACGTGGTCCCTCGATGCATAATTTGGTCATCGAGTTGACTTAATCATCTTATGCCGATATAATGGAAACGATTCGGAGCAGATAAAAAGGATATAAAGCTTATCTTTCCACATATAGAATGACTTCGACTTCAAGGCAGAGAACGGCGTTTGTTGCACTCAATCAGAAAATATTTATACACAGCAAAACAAAAATCTAGACAACAACAACAACGCAGAACCATTGCAAGAAAAACATAGAAACTCGGTTAACTATTTTGTAGCCCAGTAAACCGCACAATTTTCTAAGGCAACTATTACATTTCTAAGTGTCCAGAATCAATTTTGAGAAAATCAAAGGTATACAGAGGTTTAAAAATATCTTCCCACAGCTGCAACGCGATTTCATCATCCAGGTCGAGCGAAGCAAGGGAGGCCTCGAACTTTTGGAACCCAGGTGGACGTCTTCTCTTTAAATCTTCCAATGTCAGCACGGCTTGACTGTCATCTCCACTGCGCTTCTGATTTGTCCTTAAGTCTCTATCTTCTTCTTGAGATTCTTCTTTTTCAACCAGGTATGAATTTCCACCTTCTTCAACGACGATAAAACGGCCACTGGTCTCGTGGACAGAGGACTGCTTGTTGAGACCATTCCGCTTTTGTGAGGGTCCGAGGAATTCTTGGTCAGAAGCAATGGTGCGCATCCCGCCAGTCATATTCTCTTTATTTTTTGATTTGAATAACTTTCTGAGAAGACTAGACATCGTTAGGTTCTTGTTTGTTCCCGAACGTTCAGTGCGAAAATAATTGCAAATGCCCATGTATCTAGAGGTAATTTTATCACGTGTATAATAAATGACTTTTTCCAACGAACTTTCCGCAAATGAAATACAACGTCAAGAAAAACGTGACCACGAAGACTTTTTATTGGTGCACTGAAAAAATAAAACCATCAAATTTCAAGCTCTTTTAGCCAATCACGATTTTAGACCGGTGAAAAATATCCCGATCACAGAACCACTAGATTACCAGCAGTCTAACTGTTTTGGTCTTTTTGTATTTTCTTTCCTTTTCCTTCGTTCAGAAGCTCACGCTCATAGTGCCTTTATAATGTTTTGCAGCAGATTCTAAGAACGTTTCCGCCATGGATATGACAACGTGTGCTTGCAAATCTTAATGACATCTGCACGTGAAATATTTGTAAAATTTGTCTGTCTCTGACATGGCGAGGAAGGCACACCCTTCCTGCATTCCGTGCTCTATAGATCATTACCTCATTAAAGAATCAAGATAATTTGGTTTTATCCACTGAGTTTAGAGTGCAATTTGTCTACCTTGAAGAATTTTTAAAGTTGACGTTTTGAGCGTTAGCCCTCTGCCATGCCAGGGCAAATAACAACCAGGGCAAATAACCTAAATCAGAAAATATTTGATTAAAAGAAATAGACATTCAAAACAAAAATCTAGGCAACAACATCAGGAACTGAAAAATACAAAAGTATTTATCTCTATATCCATCGCTTATCTTAGGTATTTATTAAAAATAATAAATACGAGACATCGTACGTTAGGTTTTTGTTTGTTCCCGAACGTTCAGCGCGAAAATGATTGCAAATGCCCATGTATCCTGAGATAATTTTATCACGTGTTTATAAAATGACGTTCAACGAACTTTCCGCAAATGAAATGCAACGTCAAGAAAACGTGACCACGAAGACTTTTTATTGGGGCACTGAAAAAATGAAACCATCAAATTGCAAGCTCTTCTAGCCAATCACGATTTTAGACCGATGAAAAATATTGCACTATTATTTTCGTTTTTCCGCGGGGTCCTGATCCTGTTGTACGCACGAATCTAAGAAAAAATTCATTCGTCAAGTTTTTGTTAAAATAGTATTTAATGCGTCCCGTATTTAAAAGGAACACTTCAAATCTCACCTTACCTTGCCTTTCTGTAAAAAATTCACTTGTTCCGGATCAATTTTGGACTTAATCGCGAATCGCGACTAAAAATCCCTCTACCGCCCTTGTCTAAAGAAACAGCATGAGTTGTTGTATCCCTTGCAAAAACGGCTACGATATTTAGTTCAAGTAGGATGGATATAAAACACATGTACACTTAGCTGGAAAATAAGCTTAGGGGTAGATTGGGCTTGAAGGAAATAAGCTGCCATATTTCAGTCCCCTCAAGGACGGGCCGAACCTGTCACTGAAACATGTCCAATATTCCTTATATATGTACCCCCTTCATTAAAAATGTCCGTTGACTATTAAAACAGCAGTTTATATCTATACCTTACATATACTGAAAGTTGTTTACCTTAATTTTTTTTGGCGCTAAGACACAGAGGAAATAGCGAGGGCTTTATGAAATAGAGAGTTCCAACGGAAATAAATATATACAATATACAACAGTATCGAAGGAACTTTAATGGTGCTTTCTATTTGGCTAAATTGCACGACTGATTTGGAATACGTGCTTTTATCAAGGGGAAAGCTATTTCAGATATCCTTAATTTAAAATGGAAGAACCCTAAAAGATCGGCACAATATATTACTAGGGATACTAATGATTACCACCTAAAGTTGAAAAATGCACGTGTATTGGAAGAGAAAATTTTTGTAGGCATTGCTTGGTCACGGGTTTGAATCGATTTTGACTATAATGATCACGTTTTGCAGGTTGCAGTTCACGCCATTTAAGTCGCCGGTTTTCGAGAGTATTCGTTGGTATTATTACGTGGTTGTTGTAATGGTAACAACGAAACCAATATGTACAAACAGAGTTACCGAGACAACCGTCCGCCAATTCGAAAAAATATTTATGTATGGAGTGAATGAGTTGCGTACAGATACTTAATTAATGAAGGACGAAGACGTCAGAGATGGTTGAGAGATTAACGCCATTACCAGATAACCACGTTAAAGAAAGGTTTCCGTAAGAAAGTTATGATTAACACTCAGATAATCAATGGACTGAATTTCGCACCTCTTTTCTGCCTGATAGGTCGAAATTCCGGTCAAACCTTCGCAGAAAGCGCAATTTTAACGGGGACATGCATCTATGCGCGGTTGGAACAAATCGATTTACTGAGACAAACTCATCTAAGTTCGAAAAATATTTATGTTTGGAATGAATTGTTTGCAGACTTACTGACAGACAAAGACGTCAGCCTTAGATTTCTGAATTTGAATACGAGAACAATGTTGTTTGGCTAACAAGACTATGAATGATATTGAAAAACAAGCTGAAGAAATAACAATGAATTAAAAAATTTTCCAAACTCTGAAACTCACCCTCCCAAATGATTAGTCCTTAATTAGTGCGGTTATCCTTTAACGAGTTATTTGCTTAATTATGTGTTAATTTCATAGTACACGTCTTTATATTTCTTTAAATTTTTGCACGCAAGCCAACCATTTTAACCACACTAAATATACTTGCCTAATATCGAGTTTTCAACTTACATAACTACATCTCTAAGAATTTAGGGTCCGTTTGCAGCAAATCAAACGTGTACAAAGGCTTGAAAATATCTTCCCATAACTTTAAAGCCACTTCTTCATTCAGCATTTGGGAATCAACTGTCTCCTGAAATTTTTTAAACCCGGGAGGATTTTTCTGCTTTAGATCTGCCAATGTCATCTTTTTCTGGAATTGGCAGTTTCCCTGATGCACTTTTTCGGTTAGCACTCGTCCCACATCACTCATCTTGTGTTCTTGTTCTTCACCGTCGGATGAAAACCTCACTCTCTTTCTGACCATGGTGAAGCTCTGTCGGCGTAAATAGCTTGACGGTTGGTTGGATTTCAATTTTTCTCCCGTGCTCGGCTGCTTGGTACGGTCATTTGATTTGGTAATCTTTTTGAGGAAAAGAGACATCATTTAGCCCGATGTTGTTTTCCGCTTGGAGTCGAGAAGGCCAGAATTTGTGGAAACCAAATGCAATAAATCGTGTTGCTTGAACTATTTATAATGCTTGCGCACGTGATCTGACGCGGGTAGCATCACGTGACTCTTAAGATGCATGGTCAACTTCAATCTTCCCTCTCGAGTGAAGAAGCGAGAGGACCCTGAGAACGAGGTTGATGCACGGCCAATGAAGGCTGGTTAGTAGCCTGCCATTTTCACCTCCGTAAGTGCTGACGAAAAATCGTACAGTTGATGATATGCCATCGAAAATATTTGTTTGACAGCCAATCACTAGGCTGGGTACTAGATTAGCCAATTACTTGTTTTGAGTGGAATGGAATGAGTATAATTTACCAGTAACAGGTTCATACGTACGAATCGATTTCATTTTCAGTTCCTGCGCACTTCGTAGAAAGCCTGAACACGTTTTGGAAGATTATTTCTCAATCTTACGCGTGACGTGACGAAACAAAATGACGTCCACGATATATTAGCCGCTTAGGAGAGAAAATATTTGTTTGAAGTCATGACGTTTAGCGTAGTTTGTACTCTTATCGACACGTCATCACGTGGTCAAAATGATGTGGACTCACGAGGCGAAGCTGAGTGAAAATCGATTATCCCCGGCTTTACGTGCAATTTCACCCTTCGTATCTCGAACCTCCCGCTAACTCGAAGCAATTTTTATTTTCCTTCGGATCATTTATTGTGGCAACAGGTGACAAATCAGAAAAAAACAGTTTACTGCAGTCCAAAACATTTACGTTGTGTCACGATTTCTGCAGTAATTTAATGTTCCATTTTCACTCGACTTCTCTAGAATTAAATTTGATTAAAAAGTATATTGCACGAATAGAAAAACAGCAAACACCGTTTTCCCTTGTTTTCGGTCCTTTGTTTTCAACTCGCAAGGCCTCCAACATTTTTCGATTTCCCTTGAAGGTTCGAGTTATCAGTCGCTAAAATCCCCGTCCACAATCATCGACTTAAAAAGGCTTCTATTTCCTTCATGATTACACTAGTTTCCGCTAAGCACGTGGTATTCTGCTTTTGATCTCGCTTGACAACAGTTTCAAGATTGGCATGCGCAGAAGGGTTGGCACCAAGTTTGTTTAGACTCCCAAACAAGTCCAAAGGACCTTGGGATGCTGGTAATTTTGACAGTCCTTTTAGAACATCGTACGCAAACTTGCTATAGTGGGCAGTTGAAGAGATGATAAGGGGTCGATGAGGATTTGCAAAGCGATCCGCTACGTCTTTAGCCACTGCTGTGTGAGGATCAAAGATGTAGTTATTTTCTTCATAGGTCGATTTTATCACATCCAGACACCTCTTTTCTGTAGTCCAATCCGCTTTAAATACAGTTGACAAGTGGCTCCAAAGATCACCAGAAATCTGAAAGAAACGAAGAATATCAAAGATCTTAAGAACAAAGGTTTCCATGCAACAAAACCTGTGCTGCAAGCTGCCACCGTTTTGGTGATTGCGAGCAGGAAGAAAATATTTTGGCAACTCAGTTTACATTTGAGTCGTTAATCAGGCGGTTTGTGTTCGGCGGTCAGCGGTCACGTAGCAGGCTCGAACGTTTGAATTGCTAAGCGGAATAAAGGTCCAAAGTTAAAGTGGAAGAAATATGTGCAAACAGATCTATTATAATACTCCGCCGCCCTCTTTTATAAAAAATTGGTGGTCGGATTATTTAGTCTTCAGACATTCCATTTAACTTAAAAGAGCAACAAAAGTTATTGATGTGACTCAAATTTTATCTCTGACGACCATTTCCTGATTTTAGGTTCGCAGAGGTTTATTTCATTCAATAAGCTAAAACTTCACATCTTTCTTTTGAAAAGTGTTCCGCCAAGCTCAGTAGCATCTTTCGTGCTCTTCCCAATTTTGAATTTTCATCTAACGCATTTATCACTTCCTCGGAAACATCGACCAAATGTAGGGCAGCCATTTTGAAATTTAGCGCTCCTGCTATAATCATCTCGCACGAGGTGAATACAGCAAGATATGAAACGGTGCTTGACCAGTTAGAGCGTGCGCATCCCCAATCATCGGAGCAATTATACTAATATATATTTAACATTTTGATTTGCTCTCATTACAATTCGATGTTTCATGTTCCCTGGCAATAATATATACCTTGACGAGCAACCAAACAAACAATGGATGGGAGGTGAGGTTGGGGAAGATAGAATGAACTGAAGTAGTTCTGAAAGTAAACTTGGCGTTTTAGTTCGTTTTCAGATCTTTTACGGTAGCTGTTGGCTTCCCAAGATCTCCGCTTTACTTATTCATTCATTCACATAGTATTTTATTTTTATTTCCATTTCCTACTCACAATACTAATTCTGCTAACATGGCAATTTGTGTCAATACATAACTTGCAATACTACATCGTTACCTTATCGAAATTTTGAAACAAATTTTTTTAAAATATAAATATTTGTATCAGTCATCGTGTGGAGTTCAAAAGCGTCAAGGGAAGTTCAATGAAGAGGACATAAGGTCTGTTTTCGTAAAATGTGGCAAAAATTAGTCTCCAGGGTAACGAGAAGTGACGTCATACGTACAACGCGGCTGATCATGTTTACACCGAATTACAGTAACGTCATAGAAAAGAAACGCCTTCTTTTTCCTTTTATTTCTTTCAATTTTATAATCGCTGAAAATCTTGAATCAACATATGATACTCTCTAGAGGTTAAAAATAATTTTTCGACGAAAATTCTGAGTAAACTGTTCGGCTGCTGAACAAAACGGCACATTACCTTAACATCTATTCAAAGCAATCTTTTCCTCCTTGAAAACTGCTTCGCAACGGTTTGAAAATGTCCTCCCACAGCTGTAAGGCAACCTCTTCCTCTAAGTCCTGCGATCCAAGGGCAATCTCGAATTCTTTAAACCCTGAAGGACGTCTCTTTCTTAATTTCATCAGTGTTTCCTTCCTCTCAGCTGGAGGGTTTTTGTCCACGGGCGTCATCAAACCGCGTTCTGACTTCTCTTTGAGCTGAAGACTACCTTCATCTGAGCTACTTGTTCCAGCAGTGATTGATTTTCCTTCAGCTTTGACAATGATGACATTTTCGCTTAGGTCGTAGCAAGGAAGTCGCCTGCCAAGACCACGGGTGAATTCTGTCGAAATGGTCACTTCGTTTGGGCGAGGAATAATCAACATGTCTCTCCTCCAGTTCTTACGATCACTTGATTTGAACAATTTTGGCAGAAATTTGGACATCTTAAAGTAGCTGCTGTTTCTGATCTAGCGATGGCAAAGACTCAAGTGTACTTGTAATAGAAAAACAAGCTTTTATAAAGCAAAACGAGCATGTGTAGATGCACGTGCCAGCGATGGTTACACAACTCATAAAGATGGTTACGAATCGACATTGAAGACGCTTTTAGCACATGCACATCGGGGAAAACGCTTTTAAAGACCAATGTAACACGTGCTGAAAAGCCTGCAAGTAAAGTGCATCGATTACATAACTATCTAGTACAAAATATTACAAACTGAGAGAAAAGGAAAGGCGTTATGTAAGGATTTCCAGCCCTGAGAAAAGCCGTGACAACACACGTTTTAAAATACGATATTTTTTCATGTGTGTTTGATATCGCCAATCAGCTGCTGACACGTCACTCGCCTTTCGTGCCACTCGGTCTGATTAATGAATGAACGGCAAAACCTTCACCATTCTTATCCATCGTTGTATGTCGAAATTTTCTCCGATTATGGCTGCTAAAACACTGAAAAATCCGTATCGCTTACAGACAGTGACATTCACACTTCCCTTGAAGGGAAAGAAGACCGAAATATGAAAGAAAAA